TAAACAATAATCACAATTATTTCTAGAAAAGTTAAGATCACTCATGTACTGGTGGAAGCATTCATACCATAAACGGGGACTTTCTTTCAAGCCATATAGAGCTTTATACAACTTAAAAACTTTATTGGACCCATCATTATAACCTTCAGCTTGTTCAACATAAACACAACTTGTTATTTTTCCATTTAGGAACGCTGTCTCAACATCCATCTGCTCTATAAAGAAATTGTTTTTAAGACAAAAAGATAACAAGATTTTAAGGGTTTGACCTTTAAAGACAGGCGAATAAGTGTCATCTACGTTATCTTTTTGTTGAAAACCTTTAGCAACTAAACGTGCTTTAAAAATCCCATCTGGCCTTTTTTTGTACACCCATTTAACATCAATGACTGGCTGGTCTTTGGGTCTATCAACCAATTTCCAAGTTTTATTTTTATTCAAATTTTTAAGCTCTAAGTCCATAGCTCCTTTCCAATTTTTCGCTTCAGAAGACAAGAGAGCCTCTTCAAAATTTAAAGGAGTCATTGCATTACAATAATTAACGCAAATTGTTTGATAGACATAGTTTTCATCTTTGTTTGGTTTTGGATTTCTTTTTGATTTTCTTAATGGTGTACCCTCGAGTGTACCAACTTCTTGTCTCTCTTCTTGTGCAATAACGGTTTCTTCAAAATCATCTGGAGCATCACTATAATTTGAGTTACTATTCTCATCTTCCTGTTCCTCTAGTTTAAATTCTTGAGTTATCTTAGGTTTTTCTTTTACCTTGAGATCAATAATCTCTTTGGGCTCTTCAAAACCAATACAAACAGTGTCATCCTCTACTATATCCACATGTCGAGCTACAATAATCTTATTACCTATTAGAACTCGGTATCCCACATCTGAATATCCAACAAGAATACCACATTCAGCCTTTTTATCCCATTTAGAAGTTCTTTTTACTTCAGGAACTCTAACAAATATTTTGCTTCCATAGATCCTCAAATATTTGGCATCAGGCTTCTTCCTAAAAAATATTTCATAGGGAGTCAATCTCTCTATGGTGTTTGCTAGAATTCTGTTCTTTAAGAAAGCAGCTGTTTTAACAGCCTCAGGCCAATAGCATCTATTAATTTTAGCTTCAGCCATAAGACATCTAGCCATGTCCATAATACTTCTATTCAATCTCTCTGCGGTACCATTCAGTTCATGTGCATAGGATGGACAAGGGTCAATAATAATACCTTTTTCACGAGCAAATGTAAAAAAAATTCGAATTTATATATTCCTTTCCATTATCACATCTTATCCACTTAACCTTTTTATTAGAAATGTTTTCAACCTGACTAATATATTCAGCTAGACACTCAAAAACTTGATCTTTACTTTTAATACAGAAAACATTAATCATTTTACTATAATCATCAATGATGCTCAAAAAATATTTTTCCCCATTACTTCCAACAGTACTATGAGGTCCATTTAAATCAGTATGAATTATTTCAAGAATATCTTTGGCTTTAGTTCTGTTATTTTGAAAAGGTAAGTTATGCATCTTATTTTCAATACAAATTGCACATTTCATAAAGTTACATTCAAGATTTTCAGGCAAGTTCTCTAACATGTTATTTTTACAGACCTTACTTAAAGAATTAAAGTTTATATGCCCTAATATCCTGTGCCATTTTTCCTTAAGAGACATTTCATTTTTAGACTCAATTTTATGAGTAATTACATTAGCATTGATTTCGTTTTTAACCAACAAGCATTTTATGTAATATAAATTATTATACTTCTTAGCAATACCAACCATCTCATTATTTTTATTATAAATTTTACTCACATTAGCTTCAGATATAATTTTATTATTTTTAGTAATTTTACTATAACTTAAGAGGTTATTATTCATTTCTTTTACAAAGAAAACATTTTCAACTGTAACCGTTGACACCTTGTCATAAACAAAGAAATTACATACAACATTACCTATCTTGGTTGCTTGTAGTATTCGACCATCTCCAAGTTTGACATTATTTGGTGTTTTTAAAGTTACAAATGTAGTAAAGTATTCGTCATTATTAATTATGTGGTCTGTACATCCACTATCAAGCACCCAAGTAACCTCATTATTATCATAAATTTTACTACTTACAGTTTCGCCTACATTTTGACCTGCATTAACCATAAACACACTACTGTTGCTGTTCGAGTTTGATTGAGCATGTCCTCCATGCCCCCTGCCTCTGCCTCGAAAGTTACCTTCCTGCCTTGTAACTGACCACCCTGAAAGTTACCTCTGTTGCTAGTCCCATAGGTATTGCCACGATTGCCTTGAACATATCCTCTTGATGAGTTGCCACTTGAACTTTGGACTCTGCAATCTCTCTGTATATGTCCAGGTTTGCCACACAAATAACATATTCTTGACTGGTATTGCGGCTGCGGTCTGGAATGACTGGTTGCCATAAATACATTAGACCTACTCTGATTTAAGCTGGTGGCTGCGGCCGGTCCATTTTCCAAAGCTTTTAGCTTAATTTTTTGCTTCAAAAATTCACAGGTTCTTTCAGCTGCCGATAAAACATCAATTAGGTCTCCTATGTAGCTGTATGTGTTCGGCAGCGCCTTTAGCATGTAGTTCAACTTCTCAACTTCCCTAATAGGAGCACCTGCAGCTCGTAAGTCATTTATGCTTCTCTCAAAGGCATCGAAAAAGGCATTTACATCAGAAAAATTCTCTAACTTAATTCCATCAAGAGCACTTCGATAGACAATCTGTAAAGCGGTAGACTGTCTGTTATACATCTCATCAAACTTTAGCATAATTTTATGTGCTGTGTCCAAGTGAGACACATATTCCAACTGCCTGTTAGAAATGCCACTATAAATGTAATTTACCGCCTTAATTTCCATAAGATTCCACTCCTCGTCTTTATCTGTAACAGCCTTTTCACGAAGGACAACTTCCTTGCATTTTTTAAACTCCAGAAACTTATATAGCCGAATCTTCCAATTTCCATAATCCACACCATCGAATATCGGTATAACAACATCATCACATTTCAAGAGAGCCATGTTCACTAAACGTTTACAAGCACCCAGACAACCACTTTTTTTTAAGCATGAAACTCTAACCGCGGACTGCTACCATGTTAAAATATTAGATGAATTGAAACTCCTTGTTATCAATTAATAATAAAGTTTTATTTTTAAGGATTTTTGATGGTGATTACATTACAAAATAAAAAGTAAGAAAAAGGATCACATGATCACACACACAGACTGACGCAAAACATTATTCTAACCCTAACTTAAAAGTACCACTAGCGCCATCTGTTACTCGGAGTTCAAAGATAAATATATTTAAATAATGGTGAAAGTAGAATGAATAAGTAAATAAAGAGATCATAAAAGTATAATAATGTTCTAGATATTTAACAAGGGTATTCCAAATATCTCCTAAATGGGTTCAGTTTATTTTTTTCTCTCGTTTCTTTGATTATTTTTTTTTCAACATGTATGTTTTGCCTTGATATATATGATATTATAATAAAAGTAACGTTCTACTATAAGTTCTTATCAAAATTTGTGAAAATAGCCACATCCCCGCTTGTCCCCACCATTAGAAGTCCCAAAAATACCGTAAAAAGGCCAAAATTTCTCCTCAAGACCAAATCCTGGCTACTTCAATGGTGCTGCACAAGCCAAATATAGCCGAGCTGCCGAATTTTGATATTATGCAGTGATATTGTTATCTGTCAACATTTAAGCCTATGTGTCTAGTAATCTAGTCCTGTCTGTATAAATAATTCTACTTCTGGTAATTTTTGGAGCCCGAGCCCCCATAGTAATTTTGAAATTCTGGCGCCTATGGCTCTTGTCGCCCAGCTTCTCCTCCTTTTTTTTTTGTCGCTTGGCCTCTCCATCTTGTTTTTCTTGTTGTCGTTTGGTCTCTTGAACTTCCAACATTTTGCGCTGAAGTTCTTCAATTTTTTGTTCTTCCATTTGTGCTGGTTGTCTCGTAATAGGCATGTACAGAATGTTCTGGAATTTCCCTCAGAATCTCTTCAAATATCTTTCCTGGTTTTTGATTGAAGTTTCAAAGACTTCGGAGAAGTCACAAATTGGATAGCTTGCTTTATTCTCGAATAGAATGTCTTAGAATTTTCTTGAAATGTCTTTTCTGAAAGTCGATTGATATAGCAAACACGTCGGTGAAGTCACAAATTCGATATCTCCCTTCGTTTCCAAATAAAGTGTTCTAGAATTTTCCCGAAATTCCTCGAAATTCTTTTTTTGAATGACTATTGATGTATCAAATACGTCGGTAAAGGTACAAATTCGCTATCTCCCTTGGTTTCCAAATAGAATTTTCTGGAACTTATTTGAAAATTCACTATCACAGTCAAAATCGGGTATACAGTCAATTCCGGGGTAATTTATACAATCGGTCAAATCTCTTTTGGTGATTACACTGCTTACACTGACTAACTGTCCTAGTATTTACTCAGTGTTCATACTAATGTCCGAAGTAGTCCGCACTTTTATCGGATTTCACTTTACAGTCTTCGAATTATATCTCACTTCTGATTCCAATGTGACGGCTCTAGCTTGCGTGACAGAAATCTTGGGTTCGTTATTCCAAAATCCAAGTCAAACTAACACAACAATAATTTATTCCACGTTACTACACACTACACACTCTGACACTAATTACTTCACTAATTAACCCAAACAACTCATCTCTTTACAACTCTCAACAATAATCACTATCTAAAACCTATCACAGCCAATCTTAAACTAAAAACTACTTACTAAAACCGGCCTTTATATATCTGTAATCCATTCTTGTAAAATCCAGAATAACCGCGATAATCTTTTTGCCCGAATAAGGCAGTATATTCTAGATTTCAAGTTAGATTCTGTACACTATGGCGAAAGTGCACCGTAACAATATATTAAACAATTTTTTTGGCGTCATTGAAATATCTAGAAATACATATGCCAAATTATTCCAGATGTCCAAAAGGTCTCACAGGTCAATTCGTCTACGACGTAGCTTGCAACCAATATTTAGACTGCTGGAACGGTAGAGGAGGCCCTAGAAATTGCGCTCCAGGCACTTTATTCAACCCCAAAACCCTGGAATGTGATTTTCCAGAAAAAGTTGAATGTTTGACAGGTCCCTCGGGCAGTGCCCTTACCCTGCAAAGGTCAGCCAAGCTTCAAAGTATCCAGGAGCAATCCAAATGCCCTGAAGACTTTAGTGGACTTATGCCAAATTACACTGATTGCTCAAAGTTTATACAGTGCAATAATGGCATCCAAACATCCAGAGATTGTCCGCCGGGTACTCTTTTTGATACAAACTTGAACACTTGCAACCATGAAAGGGACACTATTTGCTTTTCTGGCCAACAACCATCAAGTTATACTATGAAAGAAGAATATGGAGGTAGCACTGATACATTACAAGGTCAAAGCAGCCAACCACAACAAAATTGGTACCAACAAACCAGCAATCAAGGCTGCGATCCTACAAATCCTTATTGCCAATCAGGCAGCTATATAATATCGGGCCAAAGTAACTATCCACAGGGATCTAGAAGCTATTATTCTCAACAAGGCAGTATTAATCATCAACAAAGCAGTGCTTATTCTCAACAAGGTACTGTTTATATACAATATGTCATGTGCAATCCCAGTTCTGAGGATTGTGCAGGTTTCCAACAAGGTACTTATATGCTGGGACCTAGGGGTGCCCTCTGTAATCCATTAAACCAACAATGTGGTCAAAGTACTAGCTATGTACCGGGCAATAAAATCTCTGGTTCAGGAGGATCAAGAGAATTGCCAGCTTCTGGCACTTATTTTGTAAAATATGTTATGTGCGATACTGCCCAACAAGATTGTTCCCAATATCAAAAAGGTAAAAAAAAACCCTGAATGAAAATTTTCAACAAACCCTTATATTTTAGGTATTATACAGGCTGGATATGGAGTACCAGGAACCCTAATAGGTGCGTACCCAGTGGACGAATCTAAAACATCAAGTGGATGTAATGCACAAATACAAAATTGTCCGCCAACTCAGTATTCTAGTACCACTAACACTCAAGTATCTGATTCTGGACCACGCTGTAATCCACTTTATCAGAATTGCCAACAAGGTGCAACTGCTACTCAAACTCATTATCCAACCACTATATACCCTCCAGTAGCCGGTGGGCAAGGTCAATCTGGACAACCATGTAATCCACAATACCAAAACTGTGAACGAGATTCTATAAATCAAAGCCAATATACTCCACATCTTTCTTCTGTTTCTCAAGCTGGCGGACAACCATGTAACCCTCAGTACCAAAATTGCGGTCAAAGTACTAGAGGTAACCCATCTGGTGGGCAACCTTGCAACCCACAACATCAAAATTGTGGCACAAATCCTTATTTTGGCAGTAACAGTCAAAATCAGTACAATACCACAAAAGGAACTCATATTTCTGGTGGACACGGTAAATCTGGACAACCATGTAATCCACATTATCAAAATTGTGTTCGAGGCTCCCTAAATATCACCTATCAAGGCAATCTTTTTCTGAGCGGGGGAAGTCGAAATCCCCAACCTACCACAACAGGTGTGCAAGGAGGGCAACCATGTAACCCACTCTACCAAAATTGTAGACAAAAATCCAATAATCAGTATCAAGGCCAATCTACTCCGCATCTTTCAAGTGGTAGTCAAACATCTGGATCTGGCACAAATAACCATTGTCCACCATGTCCACAAACTCCTGAACAAACTGAACCAGGTGCTATTACATCATACAACCAAGTTCATGGAGGTTCTAGTAGCAGAAATTACAAAAAAGTTTGCAATGCTGATGATCCAAATTGTTATAGAAAACAACAAAAATCTCACAGTACTAGTGAAGCCAAATGTCCAGAGGGATTCCAAGGCATCACCAAACATCCGACAGATTGTAAAAAGTTTCTGAATTGTGCCAATGGCATCACTCACATACAAGATTGTGGTGAGGGAACTTTATTCAATCCTTTGATAAGTGTATGTGATTTTCCATATAATGTGGACTGTCAGGATGGAGGAGGGCAAAATATTGATTATGGTGAATTCGAATATCAAGGACCTTATAATAAAATTCAGAGCCATTCTGGTTGTGAGCCGTGCCAAAGTCTTACCCCAACAGCTTCTGGAGTTCAGCCCCAAAACCAAGGTCAGTATAGTCAAACGACTGGCAATCAAAGGCCAAAGTATGGCGCTACTGGTTCACAGAATAATCAAGGACCATATTATATTCCAAGTGAATGTCAGGGAGCTCGATGTAGTCAAGATAGTCACAATCAAACACCACAGTATGGACAAAATCAAGGTTCTTATGATCAAGTTGGTTGTCAAGGAAGTCAATGTATTCAAGGTACTCACAGTCAAACTCCACAGTATGATCAAAATCAAGGATCTTATAGTCAAACTGATTGCCAAGAAAGTCAATGTAACCAAGGTCAAATTGGTGGCCAGACTCCGCATTATGGTCGAAACCAAGGTTCTTATGGACACAGTAGTAGCCAAACTCCGCAGTATGGCGGTCAAATTGGTGATACTCCTAGTCAAATTTCACAGCATGGTCACAATCAAGGCTCGTATGATCAGACTAATTGTCAAGGATCTGAATGTAGTCAGGATTCTTTTGGTCAAAGTAGTAGTCAAACTCCACAATATGGTCAAAATCAAGGTTCGTATGGACAGACTGGTTGTCAAGAAACTCAGTGTAGTCAAAGTCCAAATAATTATGGTCAAAGTAAACAAAATCCAGGCAATCAAGGACAAGGCCAACATACTCATACTGATGGTCAAGCTGAGTGTCAAGGAGCCCAATGTTATCAAGGACAGGAAGAAATTCAAGGGACTGAGGATGATGATGATGTTAGACAAGGTTAGTATAGCTAGTTAGCAATTTTTTTTTTTAAATTCCCATACTGTAAAAATAAACCATACCATACACCATCATCGACAACATAGTTTATTTTTAAGCTAAGACTTCAATGTAATGTAAAATGTAAAGTTGGCAACATTGGAAAAATTTTAGTAAATCCACGAGCTCCGATTTTGGCTACGTTTTATCCTGTATTTTTGACCTCGAATTCCACTCATTTGATCCCGAATTTTACTAATTGTTGACCAAGAATTTTACTCATCTTTTACTAATTTTTGACAGATAATTTTTTTGACAGGATAATTTCACTGAATTTTGACCGGAAATTTTACTCATATTTTACCGAAGAAAATTACGAATTTCATTAATTTTTTATCGCCAATTTTATTAATTTTTAACCGGAAATTTTACTCACTTTTCACTGATTTTTGACAAAAATTTTTTTCGATAAGAGAATTTTACTCATTTTTCACCGAGAATTTTTTTACTGTGGACTTACTCGTTATTGACTGGCGAATTTCACTTAATTTTTACCAGTTTTTGACAGAGATTTTTTTTCTCCGAAGAATTTTACTTATTTTGAATTTTGACCGAGAATTTTACTCATTTTACCGAAGTACTTGACTCATTTTTGACCGAAAATTTTACTCACTTTCTACTCGTTTTAATCATTTTTTCACAGGAGAATTATACTGAATTTTGACCGGGAATTTTACTCATATTTCACCGAAGAATTGTATTCATTATTGACCTCGAATTTTACTCATTTTTAACAACGAATTTTATTTTTGATCGCGAATTTTATAAATTTTTGTTCGGGAATTTTACTCATTTTTTACTGATTTTTGACAGAGATTTTTTTTCGATAAGAGAATTTTACTCATTTTTTACTGGCAATTTTTTTACTGTAGACTTACTCATTATTGATTGCGAATTTCACTTAATTTTTACTCATCTTTGACAAAGATTATTTTTCTCCGAAGAATTTTACTTATTTTGAATTTTGACCAGGAATTTTACTCATTTTACCGAAGTAATTGGCTCATTTTTGACCGAAAATTGTATTCACTTTTTACTCGTTTTAATCATTTTCCATAGGAGAATTTTACTGAATTTTGACCGGGAATTTTTCTCATATTTTACCGAAGTATTTTACTCATTTTTGACCTCGAATTTTACTCGTTCTTGACTACGAATTTTATTTATTTTCGATCGCGAATTTTATTAATTTTTGATCGGGAATTTTACTCGTTTTTTACTGATTTTTGACAGAGATTTTTTTTCGATGAGAGAATTTTACTCATTTTTTACCGGCAATTTTTTTACTGTAGATTTACTCATTATTGATTGAGAATTTCACTTAGTTTTTACTCATCTTTGACAAAGATTATTTTTCTCCGAAGAATTTTACTTATTTTGAATTTTGACCAGGAATTTCACTCATTTTACCGAAGTAATTGGCTCATTTTTGACCGAAAATTGTATTCACTTTTTACTCGTTTTAATCATTTTCCATAGGAGAATTTTACTGAATTTTGACCGGGAATTTTTCTCATATTTTACCGAAGTATTTTACTCATTTTTGACCTCGAATTTTACTCGTTCTTGACTACGAATTTTATTTATTTTCGATCGCGAATTTTATTAATTTTTGATCGGGAATTTTACTCGTTTTTTACTGATTTTTGACAGAGATTTTTTTTCGATGAGAGAATTTTACTCATTTTTTATCGGCAATTTTTTTACTGTAGATTTACTCATTATTGATTGCGAATTTCACTTAGTTTTTACTCATTTTTGACAGAGTTCATTTTTCTCCGAAGAATTTTACTTATTTTGAATTATGACCGAGAATTTCACTCATTTTACCGAAGTACTTGCATTTTTGACCGAAAATTTTACTCACTTTTTACTCATTTTAATCATTTTTTACAGGAGATTTACAGAATTTTGACCGTAAATTTTTCTCATATTTTACCGAAGAATTTTATTCATTTTTGACCTCGAATTTTACTTGTTTTTGACAACGAATTTTATTTATTTTCGATCGCGAACTTTACTCGTTTTTGATCACGAATTTTATTTATTTTTAATCGCGAATTTTATTAATTTTTGATCGGAAATTTTACCCACTTTTTACTGATTTTTGATACAAATTTTTTTTCGATAAGAGAATTTTACTCATTTTTTACTGGCAATTTTTTTACTGTAGAATAACTCATTATTGATTGCGAATTTCACTCAATTTTTACTCATTTTTGACAGAGATTATTTTTCTCCGAAGAATTTTACTTATTTTGAATGTTGACCGGGAATTTTACTCATTTTATCGCAGTACTTGACTTATTTTTCACCGAAAATTTTACGCACTTTTTATTCGTTCTATTCATTTTTCACAGGAGAATTATACTGAATTTTGACCGGGAATTTTACTCATATTTTACCGTAGAATTTTACTCATTTTTGACTTCGAATGTTACTCATTTTTGACCACAAATTTTAATAATTTTTGATCGCGAATTTTATCAATTTCTGACCGGGATTTTGACTCACTTGTTACTGATTTTTGACAGAGATTCTTTTCGATAAGAGAATTTGTAAAATTACATATATAAAATTAAATATGTGGAATTCCAAATAATAACGTAAAATTCCATCGAAATTACATGAAATTTTACTAAAATTACAGGAAATTCTGAAAAAGTGAAATTTCGTTTGATTTAAATTTTTCTGATTTTTTTAATGTCTATGATTTTTTAGAATTTTTGTAATTTTCTTAAATTTTTATGATTGTAAATTTTCATGATTTTTGTGAATATTTAGGATTTTTGAAAATTTTCATGATTTTTGTGAATTTTTAAGATTTTTGAAAATTTTCATGATTTTTGTGATTTTTGTAAATTTTTATGATTTTCGTGATTCTTGTAACTTTACTGATTTTTTTAATTTCCATGATTTTTTCGAATTATTGTAATTTTCTTGAATTTTCATGATTTTTGGAAATTTTTAAGATTTTTGTGATTTTTGAAAATTTTCATGATTTCTGTGTTTTTGTAAATTTTTATGATTTTCGTGATTTTTGTAATTTTCCTGATTTTCGTTTGATTGTTCGATTAGTTTATTGATTATTAATTTTAGAAGTGCCAAATTATATTTTCGATTAAGAAACTTGTATTTTTAAAAAACATTTATTTTATTGATTAAAATACAATGGTGATGAATGAACCTGATTCTAGAATGAGCTCCAGGAAGCTCTGTACGCTGTATTTATAAGAAATAACTGCTGGTGCCAGCATTTGCGTTGGCGGAATGGTAGCACTTGCAGTGTAGTACCGCTTAGTCAGCAGTTTTCATTATTATAAGTTTTGACAGAGGCGTACGCTTATAATTAACATAGGAAAGAAGAATTATTAGTATAATGATAACATAGGGTTTTACAATATAACTTGCATTTTAAAATTACGCCGCCCATGTTTGACAAAGAAAAAGTCGACTAATGCTGGGATTTAGTTTTTATGCTAATCCAAGTGACTTCGTATAGATTTTAATAGATATTGTCACAACTACCCGCTTTACAGGGGTGACATGGGGGGTTTGTAGCTTTGGGGGTAGATGGAGAGAAACTCGCTCGGGTTATATAAAAATATATGCTATATATTTTCCCAAATATAACCTTACATGTATGCTAATCCTATAAGGTACATGACCCTTCGTACACTGGGGTCCTTATAGGGGGCCACACGTCAATTCTGCTTGAGGGACTGTAGATAAGTTTATCGTCACCCTTATGCCTTGTCCAGAGGGGCGTTCCCAACGAGAGGTAATTGCACTGGACAACGATAAGGCTGAAGATACCCAGAGGGGCGTTCCCAACGAGAGGTACTTGCACTGGGGAGACTTAATTCCAGAGGGGCTTTTCCAACGAGAGGTACTTACACTGGTTTAAGTCTCCCTTTGCTGCGGCTTGCAGCGCAATTTATATTAATTTATTGCTGAATTGCAATAAATATTCGATCGAATCGGCAATTAAATTAATAAGGTTGAATACCGGGTCCTCCTTTCCCAAGCAGCTAGTTGACATATGCCCCCCCTCCATGAAGCATTGGTCCCCAATGCTTGGAAGAGACATTTACAACAAATTATATACAAATACCATAATAGTGTCAAAAAAATACAATAATATCCTTATCCTAAAAATATCCCTTCTTTACAATAATAGCCTATAAAATATCCCTGATGCTTAACAATTATATAATCCAAATATCGCGTAGGTATAGAGAAAAAAAATTAAAAACCAAAATTAACAAAAGTTTTTCTATGGTGGGATGGGCGAGGGTGCATTATTATTCAGGTTACTATAAAAAAATAGTATATTATATACCTAGGTAGAGAAGTTGGTCCTTATATACCGAGCGCTTTTATAAACCGAGGCGCTCGCGCCGAGGTTTATAATGAGTGAGGTATATAATGACTTTCTCTACCGAGGAATATATAGAATTTTTTTTACTACTGCTAGTAGAAAATGAAAAATTTGTTTAAAATCTGTGCTCCAATTATTTTTTTTGAACGCCCTCTTGAAAGTGCTGCCCTCTATCAACAGCTTATGATAACTTCCTATGTACCTACAGAAACCTATATTTTTTTTCAAATTGACGTATGGAAATGAAATTGAACCAATAGAAACATGACAATATCCTTGCGTCATGACGTCATTTTCATTATTAACCTAGGTATTTTTTCATTATTTTCATTATTCACCTAGGGAGAGAAATTCAATTTTTTCCTAGAAAAATAGATTGAATAATGACAATTTCTCAGGTTAGTAGTAAAAAAAATATCTTACAACTAAGAAATTTCATCAACTTCACCGTTTCAGCCCATGGGTTTTTCCTCGGGTTTTTCTCTTTTGGTCCGGTCCTGTTTTCTGTGTTGTGGGTCTGTTCTGGTTCCAAATACTTCTTGGTAGGTCAGCTAGATCGTGGGGTGATATCGATCCCACG